CTCATTTCAGACACTTCGAGTTGGCCGAGAAACTGCCTCATCCAGTCGCACAGATGTCGAAGAGGCGCGTCTTTCCAGACATTTAATGATGACAGACGAACAATTTCCTATTTAAGGCGTATGTCTGCCACTCAAAAGTTGCACCCATTCAATTTTTGATGACGTAGAACCCATCTGGCCATTGATTGTGCTTCCTCAGAAACTTTACAAGGGACCCACCATATTTCCAAACAGTTGTTTTCTAAATCGTGGTGTCGATCCGCGCAAGCTATTCTTTTTTTATAAATACATGCGTCTCCTTCTTTTTCATTTTTTTTACTTCACGAAATTCATATTCTATCTCTGAAATTTCCTTGCTTCTTCCATTGTTGCCTTTCTCATTCCTTTTGCAATTTTGAGATTTCCAGTAAGATAATACCTTATTTCTACTTCTTTCTTTAATTTCAGTTATTATGTCTTCTTTTCCGCATCAAACCGTCAACTTTGAACCGTCTGGGGACGAAGGTTTGTCCTCACATGTGATAACGACTGAGATGGTGGTATTCTCGCTGCCCGAGGTAGCGGGAATCGAGACAACAGACGACATGGAGATTTCGCCGTCTCTAGAACTCCTTGACTTGGATTTGAATGAGGACATTGATATGGACCTAGTGGAGGAGGTGCTCCAAGGTGATACCCGAGTTCGTGAAAGGTTATAGTTGGTACGTGGCTATTATGATGTCGACCACGCAATTGAGGAGGCTGCGGTTGTGTCGAACTTGTTCTAAAGAAGGCCGTATCGAGTGTGACTGAAGACCAGCCTTGGGAAATACAACCGCAAGTGTTGAGCTAGGTCAGTGGACCCATCATATGTAATGCTAAGCTCTCGAAACCCATTCGGAAGGTCGACATTAAGGTTCCTCTGAGCGAATGGGTGGCCTCAAGCTCTTCCCGACTTCTTTCCCTCTATCTTGGCCTGCAACTCCTTCAGTTGCTCGACCTTTCGCTCCACCATGAGATCCGATCAGATCCTCTACACTACTTGACTGTTGAGCTCTGTATCTTTCTGTATGGTCACGATAATTGTGACCTCATTAGACATCTACTGCTATTGAGCACACTCGGTCGCCACTGTGTTGGCGATCATCTTGCTCAGCTCCTCATTTGTCATCATGACGAGTTGTTGACCAACTGGCTCCCTCGTGCCCTTGGTGGTCCCATCGGCAAGATAAAAGCTAGATCTAGTTGCGTCTGTGTTAGAACCACAACCTCTTGGCTCGATCTGACCCTTGTTGGGTTGCTCAGACCTGCTGCTGCAACATGGACCACCGAGGAACTCCCTAAGCCTATAGGATGAGGATTTGGGCTCGTCGAGGTCTGAGATGACCCAAAGAAACCCAGGGGCAAGCTTGCTCCGAGTGGGCGTGTGGTAGTCCACACGTCAATGAAAGTGTGCTCTAAGTTTTTTTTTTTTAGAATGCCACTTGCAATGGCTGGATCTCTTCGATGGCTTTTTGAACGAAGTTCAAACAGACGAGCCAAATGGTGTGCAAATGACCTCGACCGGGTTCGCACAACCTGGATTTGCTCTCTGACTTGCTCGTCGACCTGCAAAATTGGCCGAGAGGAGTTCCCGGCGTTAGCACTCCGACGATCGAGTCAGTCACAAACAAAGACGACAAACCATAGTGTATGTAAAGCTCTATAAGTGTGGAGAATGTAATGTTGCAATGGACATCTCTCACCCTTTTATATATGTGTGCTACCGTTTTTCCTAAGACTGCCAGATATGCTGTCCAAACTTCCCGAACTACCCGTCCGTACTGCCCGAACTACCAGTCCATACTGCCCGAACTACCTGTCCGTACGGCCCGAACTGCCTAATTCTGTTAGGCCACGTGACCCTATCCACGTATGGTTCTTATCTTAATAATATTTCTTCTTATCCATTAGTCTAATTTATTACATGGTCTAATCGTGCGACCGACTCAAATCACCGCTAGATGGAGTATTGGATGTGCTGAGCTCATATGCTCTGCTAATCTGGTCGATTCACAGAGCAGTCTTGCTTTCAGGTCGAGTTTCAATCAGGCTATCCAAAAATCCTAACTTGACCTGTATGTGCTCTTTGGATCTACGACGTTCTCGTCGGCCTAAATCCTCTTCGACCTGTAGCGCCTTCAGTTTCTGTTCAACCTGCCGGTTCACCCATTCAGTTATACTGTTTTTCGGGTCAAGTTGACCCGGTATGTATCCCATATCAAACACATTATTTAACAAAGTTCAGGACACAAAANATTTCTTTTTTAGGTTTTCCTCACAAATTTATTTATATGATTCCACCATAGCTTTTAACAGATCTGTTGATACCTAATTTGGCTCCGATTAAATAAATCATAAATAAAATAATCAAATACGGCCCGACAACCAAGAAGCCAGAAATATGTGATAAATAAATATACAAACAGGTTCTCGAGACCGGTCGCCTAAAAATTGACCGGATTCCCAGATATCGAGTCCGCCAGCTACCGAGCCGAGTCTAATTCAGAGCCGCCTCCAGTAGATACCATAATTGCCGAGTAGACAAACGTCAGTTGGAACCGACAAGAGTTATCAGCGGGCTTCATGATAATTATCTCACATTAAATAATGATGTATTATCTCTTATTTATGGAATCACCCACTTGTGAGGAAGGAAAGGTGTATATATATGAGAGGGAGATGAGAGAGAAGGGGACCTTTTTCCTTTCCTTGACTATTCATCTCCTTCCTCCTAACAACATGAGAAAGAGGGTAGGGGCGGTTGGATGATGCTCTCTCCATTTTTTCACATTCTTACCAAAAAACATAAGAAATAAACACCCATTTCTATCCATTTGGTTCTTTTTTCTTATATAGATTCGAATTATACTCGACGGTTGATCGTCCGATTTTCGACATCAACAGTTTGGCGCTAGAAGAAGGGCTCCGTAATTTGCTCGGAGTCAATTTTCGCCGGAAAACGGCTACATTTACACCGGAAAGTATTCCCTCAAGGTTTGGTAAAAACCCCAAATCTTTTTCTTCTCTTTTTGTTGTCTTCAAGATATAAGGATCAAAAGTTATTTTCGCACTATGGGCTATGAAGCTCTTTGCAAAGAGAAGAAAGCCTGCGTAATAATTCCTAATTTTGTCTATTTTACCTTCTTCGATTTTTCGGTTGAGACAAATGAGATCTGCTGCAATTTCACGCAGAATTCCTCTGTCTTTTTCTTTGTCATTTTTTCCTTTTCTTTTCTACTGATTAAAAAAGAAGCAAATAATGCCACTTGCTTGGTCACAATTGGGCCACGTTACTGACAGTATTTCTGTCAATACTGTTCACATTACTTTATACTTTATACTGTTCACATTATCTAGTAATAAAATAAAAAATATATAATAAAAACGAGAGAAAAGTCAAATTCAGAATCCATTTGTGGACGGCTCCCCGTCGATGCCTAGCTCGACACCCCGCCTCAACCGCCGGTGCCGACCTCACCGCTAGGATCACCCTCGCAACCGCACATGCCGAGCCCGACCACGCCTCCTCCAGCAGTCCGGCCAACCGCCGAGATGCATCACCCAGCCGGACTCGACTCGTCTTCTTCGAAATCACTTCGACATCTAGGACCTCAGCTCGGGACCGACACAGATATGTCGGGCTGCACCTATTCCTTCACCACCAGTCGGGTCTCGTCACAGCCACAGGCACCGACCTCCACTTAGCTACCGGGGCCCGACCTCGCGAGAGCCGTCGTCCATCGGTGCCGACCCCAGACTGAGACCTCCCCTTAGCCACCGGGGGCTGACCTGGACGCCGTCGAGTGCCAACTCCCACCGGCACCGGCCTCTGCTTAACCGGACCCGACCTGGACGCCGTCGAGTGCCGACCTCCATCGGCACCGACCTCCGCTCAGCCGTCGGGGGCCGACCTCAGCGGGTGCTGACCTTAACATGGTCCGACCTCGCAACAGTCGGGCCGACCTCGCAATCGCCGGGCCGGAACGGCAGACCCCACCTCGCCATCGACACCTTCATTTCCGGGCCAAAAACAGCCACCATGGTCGACTTCGACGTGCCGATCCCGACATCTCCAACCTTATAGCCTGTGGACGACCTCACACCGAAGGTGCCGGGCAGACGCACCAGGCTGATACCATCCTCACATCAGCCGGATAACCACACCCGATAGGTGCCGACATCACCCCGAAGCCCGGGCCGACACTGCCAGGCCGACCTCGTCACTTCAGGCCGACTTCACACCACAACCGTCGACACCGCAACCGTCGGCCCGACCTCGCGAGCTGATGCCGACCTCAACCCAGGACCCGTACCAAACCGTCGAGCCGACCTCGCAATCCGATTTCGCTAGGCCGACCGCAATTCGGGCTTCAAGTCAAACGCCGAGCTTCAATCTAGCCTCGACAAACTGTAATCACAACTGCCGGGGCCAACCTCACAGTCGCCGGATCGGCCCCGAAACTTCATCAACCTCGCTCCCCAGTCACCAACCGGGCCTCCAAATGGTAGGCACCACAGAAACCGCCTCACAGACGGAAAAGCCGACCTAACTGAGGCCGCCCTCAGACCCGGAAGCCGAACCGCCGCCACCGGAGAATGGACCCCGTCGTCAAACTCGGACACCGAGCCGCCGCCGCCATCCCCAGATCTCCGATGCCGAGCTCGCCCCCAAACACCGAGCACCCCGAATCATCGCCGCCGCTGGGCCCTCAAAAGACGACATCGTCGCCGCCGTCCTCGGATCCAAACCCGGATGCCGAGCTAGCCGCTACCATCCTCAGATCCGACCTTCTGATGCCGACCTCAGAAGTCAAACCGCTGGCCTCCGTCACCAAAGAGCGAGCCTCCACTTTTCGTCTAACTCGTCTATCACAAATCGAGGCCGAAAAATTGTTCCCTCACCGCTGCCAGTCGGCACAGTTTTGAGCGTATTCTGAGGATCACAAATTCGGACAAATTATTGAGCGGCACGCCAAGGGATGGGTTTCTGGCCATATTCTGCGGATGAGTACAGGTAAGTAATCTTATCCTTGATTTAATAACTAAAAAAGCAAATATATAAATCAGCTTCCCCTAATAATAATGACATGAACGAATAAATACATATAATATGTATGTACTCCACAAATATGCGTACTGCACTTATTATGTACTGCATGTGTACTATGCTTTTAATTAATAAGTAATAACTATTATAAGTATAATAAGTCACACATATAAATGTGTGCACATAGATACATTGTGATAATAATCATATATGTATATATATAATAAGCAACGCATATATGTAATATATATGTGTATTATATATATATACATATATAATAACGTAATAAAAATAAATAAATAGTGAATATGCATACGTATATGTACAAAGACACGAATAAAATATATGTCGAACCTCAATCGTGAAAGTTGAGTCGAGACGGGAAGGATTGGGGAAAGTAGGTCTGCTGCAAGCCTTCGGGATAGGCACGGCTGCTCCTCTAACACTTCTCAGTCTCAGAAGGTCACGAGGCCTTTGAGCCGTGACGACATTATTACACCGACTGTTGTAGAGCCCTTGCTCCGGCCGATGTCATTATCCAGTCCGGCGACGAGCCCCTGCTCTGTCGGGCTGACGTCGTTACATCGTCCGTCGTAGAGCCCTTGCTCCGGCCGATGTCATTATCCAGTCCGGCGACGAGCCCCTGCTCTGCCGGGCTGACGTCGTTACATCGTCCGTCGTAGAGCCCTTGCTCCGGCCGATGTCATTATCCAGTCCGGCGACGAGCCCCTGCTCTGCCGGGCTGACGTCGTTACATCGTCCGTCGTAGAGCCCTTGCTCCGGCCGATGTCATTATCCAGTCCGGCGACGAGCCCCTGCTCTGCCGGGCTGACGTCGTTACATCGTCCGTCGTAGAGCCCTTGCTCCGGCCGATGTCATTATCCAGTCCGGCGACGAGCCCCTGCTCTGCCGGGCTGACGTCGTTACATCGTCCGTCGTAGAGCCCTTGCTCCGGCCGATGTCATTATCCAGTCCGGCGACGAGCCCCTGCTCTGCCGGGCTGACGTCGTTACATCGTCCGTCGTAGAGCCCTTGCTCCGGCCGATGTCATTATCCAGTCCGGCGACGAGCCCCTGCTCTGCCGGGCTGACGTCGTTACATCGTCCGTCGTAGAGCCCTTGCTCCGGCCGATGTCATTATCCAGTCCGGCGACGAGCCCCTGCTCTGCCGGGCTGACGTCGTTACATCGTCCGTCGTAGAGCCCTTGCTCCGGCCGATGTCATTATCCAGTCCGGCGACGAGCCCCTGCTCTGCCGGGCTGACGTCGTTACATCGTCCGTCGTAGAGCCCTTGCTCCGGCCGATGTCATTATCCAGTCCGGCGACGAGCCCCTGCTCTGCCGGGCTGACGTCGTTACATCGTCCGTCGTAGAGCCCTTGCTCCGGCCGATGTCATTATCCAGTCCGGCGACGAGCCCCTGCTCTGCCGGGCTGACGTCGTTACATCGTCCGTCGTGGAGCCCTTGCTCCGGCCGATGTCATTATCCAGTCCGGCGACGAGCCCCTGCTCTGCCGGGAAGACGTCGTTACATCGTCCGCCGTAGAGCCCTTGCTCCGGCCGATGTCATTATCGCCGCACGTGACAGACGAAACGTGAGATACGCCTAATTCCAAGTCAAACCACTCTCATATCAAATCAACGACGTCCCCCTACACGGGGCCTACCGACTTGAACGCCTGGACGGCACGCGCCCATCAATACCCATAAAATTTGGCATTTCTGCAGAAGTCCTACCAATAGGTCTAGGCTATTCTCACTCAATGAGTGACGTTATTGTATAGATTATTCGATGAGCTATGTCAAGAATGTAATTTACCTTTTGCTTTTAGAGGCTAGGTCGTCTTAGGCTTAGATCGAGTCGAAGCGGCGTAATTAACGTAAGGAACGAAGTGTTGGCTAGGATCAGTACGATGACCTAGTCGGCACTAGCCGGGCTCAACTAGGAAGCCCGGTCAGGCCAATAATACCACCGAGTCCGAACGCGAGACCGGTCAGGTAAGCTGCCACATAATTATGTGCAGGTCGGGTCAGTACGATGGCCTGGCCGGCACGAGCCGGGCTCGGCAAAGTAGCCCGGTAAGGCCAAAGTCGCCAACGTAAGAAGTGAATAACGAGCTCAAACGCGAAGCTCAGCAAGGCCAGACCGTCGCCCGATTTAACGAGCGGATCGGATGGGTAATGCACCATCATAATCATTAGTGCAATAAATTGCACAAGCCGGACTCGATAAAGGGGCCCGATAAGGCCGAAATTCCATAAAACTAAAGGCGTACGAGCCATTAGGCCGAAATGCCGTAAAACTAAGGGCGTACGAGCCATAAGGCCGAAACGCCGTAAAACTAAAGGCCTACGAGCCATTAGGCCGAAATGCCGTAAAACTAAAGGCCTACGAGCCGTGAGGCCAAAGTGCCCAGAAACTAAAAACCGAACTCCAAAAGCGGTTCGGCCCAACTAAACATGCGACACGATGCTCTCATTCATCATACATTCACAACATACATTCATCATACATTCATCGCATACATTCATCATACATTCACGCATTCCACATATGATCGCATTATGCATACACTCTCGTAAGAAATAAAGATCTCAAAGCTCAATCGAGCTAAGAGCCCAAAGCTCACTCAGACAAAGAGCTCTAAGCTCACTCATGTCGACCATTCAAAGCGCATTCCTGCATAAAAACGGGTACCAAATTACCTGACCAGGCCGCTCCGGCCCCATCCAATAGCAATCTCGCAAAATTGATCATTCTCTCAAACTGACTCAACTCGACAAAAGATTAAAGAGCGTGATTATCGTAAATACGTTAGGCTAAAGCTTAAAAAGATTAACAAAACGCGCAAGGGTCCCAAAGTGCCCGAAAACAACAAAACAACGATCCGAGTAACCAAAATTACTCGATGAAGAGTTAATGAGTCCTCGAGACGCATAAAGTAAAGGCCGACAAGATAAATATGATCTCCTGAATCACGCGAAAATTATCCGACACGTGCACTCGTCGGCATATTTGCAATTTCACCAATATCCCTCATTACGCGTAAATCCTAACGCCATCAAAAGAGCGCGAAGCTCAAAAGATCATAAGGTGAAAACATCGCCAAATTATCAAGAATAAACGCGACTTCAGAACAGTTCAATCAGAACATGTCCTAAACTCGGGGGACTACTGTTGATACCTAATTTGGCTCCGATTAAATAAATCATAAATAAAATAATCAAATACGGCCCGACAACCAAGAAGCCAGAAATATGTGATAAATAAATATACAAACAGGTTCTCGAGACCGGTCGCCTAAAAGTTGACCGGATTCCCAGATATCGAGTCCGCCAGCTACCGAGCCGAGTCTAATTCAGAGCCGCCTCCAGTAGATACCATAATTGCCGAGTAGACAAACGTCAGTTGGAACCGGCAAGAGTTATCAACGGGCTTCATGATAATTATCTCACATTAAATAATGATGTATTATCTCTTATTTATGGAATCACCCACTTGTGAGGAAGGAGAGGTGTATATATATGAGAGGGAGATGAGAGAGAAGGGGACCTTTTTCCTTTCCTTGACTATTCATCTCCTTCCTCCTAACAACATGAGAAAGAGGGTAGGGGCGGTTGGATGATGCTCTCTCCATTTTTTCACATTCTTACCAAAAAACATAAGAAATAAACAACGCATGTGAATCTTTAGTAATAAAATTTAAATTCTATTTTTTTGGTAACAAATTTAGAGATTTTTATGGCAAAATTTGAATCCCATTTTTTTCGTATCATATTTTTTTTTTTACCAAAATTTAAATCATATCTTTTTTTTTTGTAACAAATTTGGAGATTCTTATGCAAAAAATGTGTCAATTATTTATGAAAACAACTCTAAATACAAATTAATTTAAAAATCATGCAAATTGGATACAAATTTAGGAAGCAAATAGTTGTATAATTCTTAACCAATTCTTCCAATCTTATTGAATAATTTTTTCTTTCAAAAAATTGTGTAAATTGGATAAAACCACGTGCAATTTTTATTTTAAAATAAAACTGATAGTTGGACGGGATGTACATTCCAAATTGTGTCCACATTTTTTGGTAACAAAAGCGTTTCATCATTAATATTTAAAGTCACATTATCCAATTATTTAGGAAACATTGTGTGCAACTTTTAAAAATTTAAATGTATTGATTTTTTTGGATGCTTATGTTTTTTCTTAACCATGTTTTACCGAGATTTTGGTAAGTTCATATCATTGTTTTTTGGGTTAAGTTCATATCATTTTCTTTAGGAAAGAGACATTTGCATAAACATTAACAATTTACTTCAATTTTTTATTAGAATTATTTTCAATTCAATTTGTTTGGTACAAAAATCGGTGCAATGTTAGGAAAATTCGGTTGCATTTTTAGGAAAAATTGATGATTTTTTTATTTGGTTTAAAAAAAATTCGGATCAATTTGTTTGATAAAAAAATCAGTTTATTAGTAGGAAAATCGGTTTCATTTCCAGGAGTAACTAATGATTCTTTTCAATTTTTCTTAATTGAAATTTAGAATTAGATTTAAAATAAAATGGGTGAAAATCCCTAAAAAATTCTACTTTAATTTTGTTTAATAAATAAGATCCTTTAATTTTTTCAAAACTTCTTAACTAATAACTAATAATATGCAATTTTTGATAAATTCGAACACCTATGTAGTACTTTACGTGCCAAAAAAATCAAATCAATAATGTTGTACATAAGGAAGTGTTTAATAACATATAAATTTCATTTTCATGAAATTTTTAATGACATCAGACAATTTAAATACAAAAATACCTTTCAAAAAATAAATAGGTAATAAATGCTCCCGTGCATCGCACGGGTACCGTACTTGTAATATATAAATCAATAGAAAAAGAATTTTAAATTAAAAAAAAAAAAGAATAAAAATATAAATGCATCGTGTATATAACAAGCGCATCTTCCAAGATATCACAAAATAATTGCCGACGGTTTGATTACCGAGTCGGAGTCGGAATTTGCTCTAGTGGTGTTTTGCATGTTGACCAGATTCATGAATCAAGATCAGATGGATAAATTGACAATTTTGACGTGCTCACACATTTTCATTTTACCTTTAATTTCCCTTACAACTGAAATTTAACATTACATCGAATTGCCTATATACCAAGCACATGTAAGTCAAACTAGAGTGTGAAATTTGATACACGAGTCGGGGGTAGGTTTAGAAAATCTGACACGAAATAAAACACAAAATGTGATGTTTCAAAGATAATACAAAACTCCACACCTTGTTCTTTTTCCATATTTTTATTTTCAATTATTCCACCCAATCCATAAGTACGTGCTCATAAAATATCAAGTTTATTAAAACAGTACAAAATATTTCTATTATAAATACAACCTCACCTGCAGAATTCGGTCATTTCGTATCATATCCTCTTCGGGGCCTCGGGCAGAAGAATTTAATAGAGCAACTTTGCTTTTTTGTCTTTTCCACTATCACTATTATCTGTTTTCTGAGTCTAAGCCTGCTGCTTGCCGCTCTTTGTCCAACCATCAAACCCTAGGGGAGAGGTGGCGAGCAAGACTGGATCTTGAAACGACTGCAACGATAGCCTGGGTAATAGTGCGGTGCGGCTGTTTCTCGAGAGAAAATCAGGAAATTGGACGGCTTGAAACTCCATGGCCGAGGAGCTCGTCTCCGCCGGAGCCCCACCGGGAAAAAGGACTTTATGGTGTCGAATTCCAGAGACAGACAACATACTAACTGCAGCACCTAAAATCAACAACACTAAATAAAAATCAATGAATAATCAGTTCTTACTACAATTGCAGAAGGCTTGTCATCACGGTACGGGCATCTAGAATGATAAGGATTTCCAGCATATCCAGAATAATAAGGATTTTCCAGTCCTGCTCCCTGCCAATAATTTTTATACTTCATCATAAAATTGGAAAAAAAGAAACAGACAACATAATGACTGTAGCACCTAAAATCAACAAAAGTAAATAAAAGTCAACGATTAATCAGTTCTTACTACAATTGCAGAAGGCTTTTCCTCGCGGTACAAGCATCTAGAATAACAATGATTTCTAGAATAATAAGGATTTCGAGCAAATCTCCCTGGCATCGGTGCAAGCCAGTGAGGTGACCATCGATATCCATATCGATTTCTCTCGGCGCTTCTCACATAGAAGACCTCATCGTCGCCGTCGGAATTAGTTTCTCAGACTCCCTCGCGCCTTCTAGCACTGGGGCATCTTATTCTTCTTGCTCTCCTTTGTTCGATTCAGGCAAAAAAATTTTAGGTACCTCCCACAAGCCCTTCTCTCGGAAGAGTGTGGACTCAATGTAGCTCATCCCGTTAAAATATTTTTGATTTCCTACACGAATTAGCAAAAATGGGCCGTTAAAAAAACTCAACCGAAAAATCTATAACCCGAAAATCAAACTGTTTTTTCCTCTTTTTTTTTTTTTTTTTTTTTTT